CCCTGCTTCGGCAGGGGGTTGGACTAGATGACCCACAGAGGTCCCTTCCAACCCCGAACATTCTGTGATTCTGTGAGAGGGCGAGGGATGTGCTGGCCTGGCCCGGCCAGTGCGCTGGCGGGGGGTAGCATCTGCCAGCAGTGCCGTGTGTCACTGCTGCCCTTTGCTCTGCCCTTCATAACCTTGGGGCGATGGCGAACAAGCCAGGAGAGGCCGGGCAGAGCGCTGCCTGCCAGCCACCTGGGCAATGGTTAAGCTGGAAGCAGCAGGAAAGCCAGGGCTGCGAGCAGGGGAGGGCACGGGATGCTGCCCCCGCCCTCGAGGGGCTCTGGGTGACGTGGGCTGCTGCGTGCAGGGTCCCATGGGTGCTCGCTGGGCGTGTTTCATCTCTGAAGGGCGCTCAGGGGTGCGGAGGGCTGTGCTGGGTGATTGCCACCTCGTGCGTCTGGAGCGTGGGTGGTGATGCGCGGCTCTGGCTCGTCTGGATCAGACCTTTGCACTCCCCCGAGGGTGCCGCTCCCCGTCCCGCTGGGCCAAAGGTCCCTGCAGCTCTTGGGCACGAATCCTGGGAAACAGCAAAAGACATTCCCCACCCATGCGTGTCTCTGCTGATTGCAGATATGCCTTCCCTGTGCCAGCATTCGAGTGTTTGGGCAGGAATGATGCGCGGCTCTGGCTCGTCTGGATCAGACCTTTGCACTCCCCCGAGGGTGCCGCTCCCCGTCCCGCTGGGCCAAAGGTCCCTGCAGCTCTTGGGCACGAATCCTGGGAAACAGCAAAAGACATTCCCCACCCATGCGTGTCTCTGCTGATTGCAGATATGCCTTCCCTGTGCCAGCATTCGAGTGTTTGGGCAGGAAGCTGGTTCCAGGCAGCGTGCCCCTCGGTGTCACCCTCGGTGTCACCCTGCGCGGGGCTGAAGGCTGGTTCCAGGCAGCATGCCCCTTGGTGTCACCCTTGGTGTCACCCTGCGTGGGGCTGAAGGCTGGTTCCAGGCAGCGTGCCCCTCGGTGTCACCCTCGGTGTCACCCTTGGTGTCACCCTGCGCGGGGCTGAAGGCTGGTTCCAGGCAGCATGCCCCTTGGTGTCACCCTTGGTGTCACCCTGCGTGGGGCTGAAGGCTGGTTCCAGGCAGCGTGCCCCTCGGTGTCACCCTCGGTGTCACCCTGCGTGGGGCTGAAGGCTGGTTCCAGGCAGCGTGCCCCT